AGGCCTCCCCGCGCCGGAGCGAGCAGATCACGCGATCAGCGATTAGTGCCTCCCGGGCGGAGTCACCTGTGTTGTCCGCTGAGCGTCGCAAATGTGTCGTAGTGATTTTACATTAAATAATTTAGCGAGCTGGCTTGCTTTGGTTGGCTGGTTTGCTTAGCGCGAGTGAGACAGCTGTGTTGGCCGGGCAAACCTCTGCAACCTGCCGGTGCGCCATTGAGATGTGATGACGTAACTTGTCACGATGAACCGCAAGGACAGTAGAACCTCAGTCTGTAGTTAATTCAGAAGCTAGTGAAGGGCATGGCGAGGCCGGCGTGAGTCGCGGCGTACTTTCTGTGATGTACTGCTGTACCACCCCCAACCTCCGCATGTGGCCAGGATGCATCCATATGGACCTTGCAAGCTCCTTTCAAAATGACTTGCAGATCCATCTGCTAGGATTTGGCGCTTTTGAAGTGCTAGAACCCACAATGCTCGTCATAAAAAATGCCGTGCTCCTCACAGCACTCAGGTATGCTCTCCTCAGCCTTGGTATGTTCTGACAAGCCGCAGCACGCCTCCAGCGCACAGCTATACCGGCACTGGCATTGGCCGTGTATGGGGCTTGGCTGTGTTGACCAAGCATCCGAGCTAATGTCCTCGACATTCATGGCCCGAACCATTCAAAAGTCACTGCAAGGGTGCTCAGGACTCGTGCTGCGGTGAATAGGGCAGCAGGATGGGTGTGTCCCTCTTTGGTTTTGACGTCTGGCACAGGCCGGCGCCTCCAACTCCGCAAACAGCAGCACATCGTGTGTGCTGCATGAGCTCAGCTGTGTCAAATGAGTCAACTCAGTATTCCTCTAGGGGACGTTGCGCTGCCGAGGTCGCACGTGCGGCCGTGACTAATGCCTATTATTTCTCTCTACACTATAAAATCCATATGCATCCGGATAAGATATCAGAAATGTTGTGATCTCGATCTCGGCGAGCGCTCTTTTTTGCATATCCACATGGCGCATTGGGCTACGTACACTTCTTCTCAATTGCACCCCCACGCCCGTGCGTTGAAAGCAGGGCGACCTACTACTTGCGCCAGTCCCTGCACCCAGGCGCGCTGCTGCTCCAAACGCTGGCGGCGCGCGCCTGGCAGCTGCAGAGCGACAGGTGGCGCAGGTCCTGCCGAAGGTGATGTAGCAAGCACTAGCAGGCCATCGCAGCCGCCTCAACCACAGAAAGCGCCGCAGGTGCGCTCGCTGTCGCCCGCGCAGTCGCGTTGCTGGGCATTAGCCATCCTCCCGCAGTCCATCGCCCTGATGAGCAGCACACGGTGCACCTCAGCCCGCCTCCCTTCCTGCGATGCCACCCCAGTGGGAGCGATTCATGGGCTTTGTGGCCGCAGGGGATGCAAAAGAGGCGTGGCTGAGCATAAGGTGCGCCGCGGGGTGTTTGGCGCTCTCCGACGGCGGCAGCTTCTCACGTGACTCACCTCTCCTTTGGCTGTCCGCCCTAAATGCGACACATCTCCACCTCACGCCCAACACCTTTGCACTTGGTGCTGATGCCAGTGCGTCCACTGGCAAGTCCTTCACATTTGTGTTGCTCGCTGCTTCGCACACCGCAGTGCGACGGTCCTCACAGTGTCACTCCCCGCAGCCGTGCTCGCGGCGGCGCTGCACGGCAGCTTGTGGGGCGGCGCGCCGCCGGAGCCCGTGGCGGTGTTGGGGGCGGCAGCTGCGGCGGGCGCGGCTGTAGCGGCCGCCACTGAGATTTGGAAGATGCTTGAGGGGTTTCAGGGCTGAGGCTTCTAAGGATTGTGGTGGCTGCCTCAAGACAGCTGTGGTGTTTGCTGGTGCATTGCTGACTGGTATGAGAAATCAATGGATTGCCGAACCCATGGGTGGCTTGCGAACTTTCCTCGCTGTTGACTGGTCTGCCTGCCCCGAGGCACTCTGTTTGCTCGTTCCTGCCTGCCGCACCGTCCTGCAGCCATCACCAACGTAGCAGAAGGGTTACCCACAACGATCAGCCACAAGCAGGAACATTGGCAGCCGCCCGCCTCAAGCCAGCGCAGGCCGCAGGCGTGCATGCCAGTGCGCCAGCAGGACACGAGAGGACTTTAACGCGTCATCGATAACAACAAGAGCGACGAGGCCAGGGGTGGAGGGGCATGTGAGGGGCAGCCGTGGGGGGGGGGGCAGTCCAAAGTAAGGGCCCTCGGGAGGCCAGGGCGAACGCCCGCCAGCGAAAGAATCATTGCCTGTCACAATACAAAAGGCCGGAATGTTCTTACAGCACACACAGCCATCCTTCCTGGCTGGATTCTTTCGGTACAAAGCTGTAAATGACCAATGCATAGCCTCACAATCCACGGTGATCACGCACATCGGGGCTTTGCACCTGTCTGCACATCTGGTGGCACCGACCTCTGCTGGCCCCCTTGGTTGATTTGAGATTTTCCATTGCCATATCACGTGTGCCCCCTTGATCCACACTCATACACTGCACTCACGTCAACGATTCACGATCTAAAAATTGTCTTCAGGGACTTCACACCCTCATAATCACGCCGCGTTCATCACGCCGCGGCTGCCGCCCAGCGGCAATGGACCCGGTGACCGGCGGGGGCTCAGCGACATGCGCCGCAGCCGCGACGTCAGCCGCTCCGGCGTGGCCAATGTGCGGCCAGAGCCCACGGCGCGCATGATAAGGTAGCCCACCCCCACCATCGCCGCGACCGCGTCGTCGGTGCCCGCAAACACCTGCCACGGCCGCCATGGCCCCGCCTTTGCCTCGCTGGATGCAACAGCCACCGCCGCGCGGCCGCGCGCGGTCGAGACGTCCAGCAGCGCTGCAGCGTCGTCACCCTCGCCTCCCTCATTCCCCTCTTCAAATATGTTGTCGGCTCCGACGCTGTTGCCGCGCATCCCGCCGTGCGCCCCGCGCTTTTGCTTCTTCTGCCCGGTCTGCAGGCTTGGGGACCGCACCAGCTCCCCAGCCCGCGCGCCCCGGACCGCGCTGCCCGGCGTCGCCGGCGCCTCCTCGCCGCGCGCCGCGGCGGCCAGCGACGGCGAGTGCTGCAGCGCGCCGAGGGAGGCCATGCGCTGCAGGCTGAGCTCTGGGGTGTCGCCAATGATGTCAGAGTCTGGGGGCGCGGCGAGGCAGGCTGCAAACTGTTTGTCGTCCTCCGTCATGTCACCGCGGGCCACATGCTGCAGCTGCGGAGCCCTGTGTGCGAGTGTCGGTGTGAGAGAGTAAGTGAAAGAGGCAAACAGGTGAAGCGTGTGTTTGCGTGTGATTGTGTGTAATCTTGGGTGCGTGTGTGTTTTCTTTGTGTATCTCTGTGTGTGTGTGTGTTTGTGCACAACAATGTGGTTGCATGTGTGTGCACATGTGCGTGCATGTTCTTGTGTTATCAGCTTAACACAGCACCCGCTGGACGCCACATCCCCGCCTCACCCAAAGGGGGTGCCATAGGCCTCAATTTTGCAGGCGAAGGCGTGGTGCACCGGCACGGCCAGGGTGGACTGCAACACCACCTCCTCCTCCATGGAGGCGCGCATCAGGTTCAGGGAGTCCAGGACTGCGACAGACACCTGGGCGTCGAGCGGGTTGGCGCAATGTTAGTGAGTTTGCCTGCGTATGCATCTGTGTACATGGGTGTGTGTGTGTGTGTGTGTGTGTGTGTGTGTGTTTGTGGCATGTGTGTGTGTGAGAGAGTGGAGACCGTGCAGCTGCCTGCTGCTGCGATTTTGTAAGGATATTTGCATGTGAATATGTCTGGCGAGGTGCAGGAGCTTTGTAAGCCTCCTGGGTCCATCAATGCTTCAAGCTGGGGTGCTCTCAGAGCGCGCCAGGGCAGTGCACGCGCTTCTTAATTCAGCCCTCATTGCCCCCCAGGGCCCCACGCGCGCGCGCCGCGCCGCCAACAGGGCCCCCTGCGCACATCGAACAGGGGCAGCGCGGCCGGCGGCTGCAGCAGCCTGAGGCCTTTCGAGAGGGTCGCCTGGCGCCCGAGGCGGCGGCCAGGCACCACGCCAAGCGTCGGCCTGCGAGTGTGGGCGTGAGTGTGCCCAGGAGGGTGCCCAAGCAAACAGTGAATGCAAAGAACGATGGACAAAACGCAGGCCGCGGCCGACACAAGGGCCACGATCAACGTTGGGCCGCCGCGAGCGACTCTGACTACCGCAACTACTGACAGGAAACAGCACCCTAGATGGCAGACCCTCCGTGATGCCCCCCCGACCAAACAAGCGGCTCCCCCATGCAAATGCCCCATGCAGCTGCCCCATGCAGCGGCAGCTATACCCCATGCATGCCGCAGGTCCTCACGCGGTTCCCAGCCCCACCGCCGCGCGGGCCTCGCCGGCAAGTGTGCCGCGCGCCAGGTTGTGCGAGCTGCCGCTCGCCGCGCGTAGCGTCGCGATTGTGCTGTGACGCGCGTCCATGCTGCGCGGCCTGCTCCGCTTGCACACGTGCAGCCCCACAGCGCAAGCCTCGAAGGACTATTGCTGTTGACGTTGGGTGGTGGTTGGGAGCGCTTGGGTGCGGATGCGGGCATGCTGCGGAGCGGTTGCGACGAGGTTCGCGGTGCGAGTCATCAATGCACAGGGAAGCTCAGGCAGCCTGCTGGGGCCCCAGGCATTGCCATCGCGCATGCAGCAAACATGCCGCGGCCCGCTTCAGGATATCCTCAGGCGGCTGTGTTTCCCCCCGCAGCGCTTCCCTCTGGCGCACGGGATAAACGCAGAGCCCGCCTCCCAGTGCACGCCTCACCACGCCCGGCGTGCCGCCTGCGACCCTATATGATATCAGATTACTTTGATGATCCACTCACGAGCCGCTCTCGGAGATCCCGGCACGTCGTTGGTGCGAGAGGGGCACAGTGAGCACTGCTATAAGAGGTGCAGTGTGTGATATTTATGCATGTGAAGTTTATTCCCACGAGCCTAATAAGTGGGGACGCCGCTGCCTAAAACAGCGACCCCTCATGAGCAGCGAGCCGGCCGTCATCGCTGGGGTTGTGACAGGTGTGGATGGAGTCCTGCTCGCAACCTGATGTGCTATTACAGTGTCTGCGCGCAGCATGCAACCATGCAGGCTGGTGATCACAGGGTCATGATCGCCACGCCCATATCCCCTGCAAGTGTGAGTATGCCTCACGGACTGCCCCCCAGGCTCCCGTCCCCGCTACACCCACGGTCCACCCCACCGGCGTCAGGGGCGGCCCGGTGCAGGTGGGCGAGTATCACGGAAAATTTACCACCGCTATCATCCTGTGCAGGGCAGCGGTGACCAGCTGCCAACTTTCCAGCTGCAAAGTATGGTACCCGAGCAGGGCATCAGCCACAACTGGTGTGCTATTATATATGCAAGGAATGACAAGGCCCTCTGCGGCGACTCATCACCACCCAAAAAGACATGGCAGTCAGCCCTGGACACGCATGTGCAACACTCTGCAACCAACCATTCAACGACCAGCAAAAGAGAGCAGTCACACAGTGTGAGCGAGGCCCAACACCTGAAACGCCTGATTGAGTTCACCGAGGCAATGCACAAAGTGCAAGAGCAAGCGATGCGCGCTGCCTAATGACAGGCGCTTTGGCTTGATGCAGAACAAGGGCTCCAAGATGCTGCACTGCAGTGCACGCTCCCAAAAGCCTCAAAGGCTTGTCGCAGCGCCCACACGCAGGCATCACATTTGTATGACAGTCACAGATGCACCGACTGCGGTGGGTGCTTTCCAGCCGCCTGCTGTGTCACTCATCGGGCGGCCAACAAGTCTGCTGTGGTGTACCTGCCTGCCGGGTCCGAAGCCGCCGGTATGCAGCTTGCAGCACCGCCAAAATGCGAACCACCTTGCGCCTAGCCTCGACAATGAGCCCTGCGCAGCTCACGCGCTGGCGGCCGGCGGCCACCCCTCCAGCCGCCGCCCCTGCTGCATGCTAGCGGTGCGCCGCAGCCCCGTCGTGAGCCGCCCGAGTGCGTGCGGCGCACGCCGGCTGAAGCCCGCAGCCCGCATTAGGAGGTAGCCCACCCCGACCATCGCTGCAACCGCATCCTGGACCCCCTCAAAGGCCTGCCACGGCGCACCGCCCGCCGCCTTCGCCGCGGCCGCGGCCGCGGCGATCGCGGCGCGGCCCTGGCGCGTCGCGACGTCCGGCCGCGCAGCGGCCGCGGCGGCGCCCTGGTCGCCCTGCGCTGCGTCGGGCTCGGCCCGCCCGTCGCTCGGGCTGAGGTCGCCGCGCCAGTCCGCCTTTTTCGCCTTCTTCTGGACCTGGACGCTCGGCGTCCGCAGCAGCTCCGCGCTCCTCGTGGCGCCGCCGCCCCTGCTCAGCGTGCCGGCCGGCTCCACCTGCGCCTCCTGCTGCCCGTGCGCCGCCTGCGCCGCCTGCGCCGCGCCGCCGCCCTGCGGCCGCAGCAGCGCGCCGAGCGAGGCCATGCGCTGCAGCGAGAACTCCGGCCCCGCCGGCGCGGCGTCGAAGTCGGGGGGCGCGGCTAGGCAGGCCGCAAACTGCTTATCACTTTCAGAGGACAGCTTGCCTTCCACAATCGAGTTGAGGGACGGCGCCCTGCGCACGGCAGCGCCACCGAGGATTGCGCCGCGGCGCCGGCTCGTCGGTTTGCGTTGGACACAGGAATCATCACCCAAAAAGGGGTTGACGTGCGCAAGAAAACACCAGAGCTTTGACAGCAAAGATTATAGAGGGCTGCAGGGGAGGGTGTCGCCCGATGCTTTGACTGTGCAGATCGCGCCCCTGGCCCCTTCGAGGGCAGGGAAGCAACGAGCTCAGCAGGAAAGGGGGGGGGGGCGGGGCTCACGCAAAGGGCGTGCCGTAGGCCTCAATCCTGCAGGCCAGCGCCTGGTGGGCCGGCACGGCCAGGGTGGACTGCATCACCACCTCCTCCTCTATTGAGGCGCGCATCAGGTTGAGCGAGTCTATCACGGCGACAGACACCTGTGCGCGTTGGGATTGGAGGGTTCTGAGGGTAAGGGAGGAAATGCTTAGGCTGTTCTGTTGTTGCCGCAACCTCATGCAAGGTGATGAACCTCGGTTGCAGTAAGCGACAGGCGGCTAGACTGATTTGTCTGTGGGCAACTTGCTTTCGCATGGAGAAAAATGGGGGGCGCGGAGGTTGTAACGGTCATTGGACGCACAGCACGTGCACGCAACAGCAGACGTGATCAGCGCGCGAGCCGCGCACGTCGAAGAGCGGCAGGGCGGCGGGCGGCTGCATGAGCCGGTAGCCCTTTGCCAGAGTGGCCGTGCGGCCGAGGCGGTGCCCCGGGACCACCCCCAGCGTCGGCCTGCATGCATGCGCAGTCAGGAGCAGGGCGGAGGGGACGACGGCTCGGTTTGGACGGGAGCATCTTTGCGCCCCGCAAGTGTGCGGAGGAGGAGTGTATGGGGCGGCGGATCCGCTGGTGGCACGGTCTGGTCAAGTGCTGAAGTTGTGCAAACCACAAACCCCGCGCCGCCCCACGCCCCGGTCACCAGCACAAAGAGTTCCAGGTACCCCCGAGGCACACTAGTTCGAAATCACGCAGCCCAGGCCGCCGGTGCCTTCGCAGACCTTGCCAAATTTCGGATGGCGTCCCTAAAACCTATTTGTGCCCCCCATCGGCCCCCCGGGCGCCCCGCCGCCGGCTCTGACTGTCGGACCCCCCCGCCGTCCGAAAGACGTGAAGATCATATCAGTCAACGCGCTGCAAAGGAGCGGGCGCACCAGCCAGCCACCAAACGGGCCTGCGCACGTGCGCGCGCCTGCACGGCAGCCCCTCCCCCTCCGAGCTCACCCCATGTCTCCGCCCATGGCGGCGCCGGGCTTGACCTCCGCCGCGCCGCGGCTGAGGGCGGCCAGACCCTTGGCTGCCCTCAGCGTGGCGACAGTGCTGGAGTGCTGCTCCATGGCCAATGGGGCGCGTCAAAAGCGGCTCTGGGAGAGGATTTGTTGCCGCTTGTCTGGCTGTTACGCTGCCAGCTGCTTGGGTGTGCTCAGGCGCCGGCCTGCAGCCGGTGTTGTCCAGCCGCAATCGGCCTGCAATGATCGGCAAGGGGGCAGTCCAGGGAGCAAAGGGGCGCGGGTGTTGGCGCGGGGGTCATGGGCTGGTGCTGTGTGCCACGCACAGTTGCTGCGTATGCGCAGGCAGCCTCCATCCCAGCTCTCGCCTCTGCTGTTGGTATCGAGCAAACCCACCACGCGCCCGCGCATCTTGGCATCGCCGCTCTGACAGCAACCACTGCTTCTTGCTGTACACAACGCCGGCATAAGGCACGCACCTGATAGCCTATATCGTGGCAAAATCTATGGATGAGATACACGCCCGGCTCGGGGCGGGCTCTCTGTGCGTGATCGGTGTCGCAAATGCTGAAGCACGATTCCGGAGGGGTTTCGTTGTGCACTACGAATGTGTCTCAGGTTCAAGAAGCACTGTATTGTACGCCAATAGTCTCCACGAATGATTACGCACTGCACTGCGGCACTGCCTCGCAGGCGGCACGCACCCACCCGCCCCTCGCGCCCACGGCGTCACTCCACCTCGCATCACGCCGCTGCATGGCTGCCGCCGTCACCACATGCTGCCGCCCAGCAAATGGCTGCCGCCTGCATGGCTGAACTCACACCACATCATAAGGGGCGACCGCCACCAGGCAGCACCAGCCCAGCACCCCAACACGCGACGGATGACCGCCGCTTGTAGCCGGCCTCATGAGCAAGCCCTCCCCAGGAGCTTGTCGCCCGGCCGATAACGTGTCAGGTTACATATCGTGCCAATGCCCTTCACAGGGGTCAGGAACGCAACTCAAACAATGGCAGCACCTGGCCGCAGCAAAGGCGGCACGTCGCGTACAGAGCGGCTGCAAGCATTGCTGTGCAACGAGCCCGCAACCACCCATAAACTCAAGCCTGGGCGCCCGGCGCAAGAGGCAATCATGATACACGCCCGACCAATAAATCAGAGCAACACACGGATGCAAGAAACCCGACAACACAGGTGTGCTCCACAGATTGGCACCACGCAGCGAACAAGTGCTGCACCAACCGGTAAGATGGAAGCATCCCGCAGCCGGCCACGGGCCTGCCAACAATCCACATGCTTGCCTGGCGTGCAGGAGGGCGAAAAGCTAGACCTTGGACTCGCCATGTGCACCCCACCATCTGGCGCCGCATGGCGAACCGTGGCCAGCGAGACGGCTGTCGGCGCCGCCGCGTTCCTGCCGCCCAGCGGCGGCGCACTGCCCGCTTGGCCCGTCACTCAAAGTTGGGCTGGAGGGTGCGGCCAGAGGCCGGGGGTGGGGAGGGGATGGGAGGGGCGATGAGGGGATTGTACGAGCGCCGGGGCCGGCAGCGGCTGCGGGAGGGTGCGGCAAGGCGGCCCCGGGACTGAAGCCAGCTGCCTGCAGCCAACTTCACGCCCCCCCCCCCTTGTCGCGATCGCCCCACCCGCGTCGAGCGCTCGCTCGCCGAAGCCCACCAAACAAACGACAACACTCCCAGCCGCCCTCCTCTGCCCGGCCTTCCGCGCACACGCCAGCGGAGTTCAAGTCCCCGCGCCGCCGCCCTAGCCCAGCCAGGTCGCACTCGCCACTAGCACACACGTGTGCATGCACGGCACCCCCAGGTGTGCGCCCCACCCCCTGCCCCCCACCTGGCCTATGCTGGCGCGCAGCCTGTTCCAGGCCTTGCCGCGTGGGTCAATCTTGCGGGGCGCCTGGATGACCACCGGGATGGGCAGATACACGTAGTGCGTGTTGACCAGGCCTGGGTTTTGGGGGGGGCGCAGCGCAGCAAGGGGCATAGCATTGATTCACAGACGATGAGTTGAGATAGATCAATTCCCGTTTGGCACGTGCTTAGCGGCGGCTGGACTGAAGGTGGTTAGGGCCAGGCACTGGCTTGTGCTGAGAGGGTTGGTTGCAGGGCGCCGAGGGGGGGATCTGACGGCGTGCGACCGTCACACTCGCCGCTGCCGCCGTCCCGTAACGCCGCACAGGATTCGAACCGGGTGGGGGCGGCGCCTGCTGAGCTGGCGTGCCCCGAGGCCGCCAGGGCTGGAGGGGGGAGGATCTCCCGGGGCCCGGCCGTGTTTGGCAGCCAGACGCGCTGCGCTGCCAATATGTTGGTACCCAAGACAAACCCCCGGGAGGATGCGGGGACCCCTCACAGATCATTGCGTTTCTGCACCGGTGCGCAACAGCGCTGAGAAGGCAAGGCGGCTTGCTGATCGGAGGGTCTGCCCCTGCTGGCGCCTCACCAACGGTGATTCCGGTGTAGCCCGCAAAGGCCGCGTGGACCGCGTTGTGCGCCAGGATCTTGCAGTAGATGCGGTCGTTGGAAGTCGTGGGGATCGACCTGGGTTCAGGTAGTATTTGTGTGTGGGCGATGAT